TGTCAAACAAAGAAACATTGGATTTTAAATGCACCATTTGAACAAGGTGCCGGACATGCGAGCTGTATGATTTGGATCTAATTAGGGGTTAGGTCGAAGTTAGATACCAAAATTTGATACGGAGGTGGAGCGAGGGGATGGCATGTCCTATCTCCTCAAATTATGGTTGGATGACATCGTCGCTACTCCGGCAAAAACAGTTGCGTTAAAAATGTTTTTTTTTAAATAAATAACTGCGGTTTCAAGCCACGAATAATTATCGTTTCCAAAAATCGAGTGATTCGCTCGACACTAATCTGGATCAAGAAGACGTTGGTATTACCTCCAACAATATTTCTTCATTTCAATGCACCTTCGGCCAAATGTGCATCGGAACATCTTTTATCAACCAGGACAGGTGAACGTGTTTCGAAACAACTTGATCTTCGCAGAGGGAAACTACCATTCAGTTCAATTGTACGACATGTGTTAGATATTGATCACTATTTGAGCGAGATCTTGAAGTTCACATATTGCGATTTTCGGAAGCGATATTTATTGATCGTTTAAAAAACGGCGATTGTGTTCAAAACAAACCTAGTGTTACAACAACTGTTGTTCCCTAGGTAGTGATGATGTTACGCTTGATGTCTGTCACCTTACCACAGACTGTGTATGTGTGATATGACATACCCTCTCTCACATGCACCACAAGGTTCGAACCAGTTGATCTCCATATCAAATTTCGTCATCTAGCTTGACCGGAAAACCCCGACATCATCTTCAAGATCGTCTGTTTGGTTTTTCGATGGCGTCGTCTAAGGGAGTGAGTACGTACAATCGCCAAAATTGGGAAGACTTGTCCTTCCCAATTCTGTGTGAAACTTCCCTAGGCCCCAGTCCTTTTGTACGGATGATGAACGAAAAGTATGGCAAAGAGTGCAAAATTTGCAACCGTCCGTTCACAGTGTTTCGTTAGTGTTCCGGTCCCAAGGTAGGAATAGAAAACGGAGATTTGTCAGAGCTGTGCTAGAATGAAAAATGTTTGCCAAACATGTATCTTTGATTTGGACTGCCAGTGGAAGTACGAGATAAAGCTTTAGGTATATCTCAACAATTACAGAAGAACGATGTGAACCGTGAATTTTTCCATCAGCAAATTTAACAGCTTCTGGAAGCGGATGGAAGAGATATCATCAATTAAATGGGAAAGTTTTGTTGCAAACTACTACAGCCAGCAGCTCCAGCGATTGTGATGGCACTGGTTTCTCGGTAAAGTCAGCTTAGACAGCAACCTACTATCGACGTAACAAACCATGTATTTGCTCATTTTGGGTAAAAGGTGAATGCCGACGTGGTGAAGAATGTCTGTATCGAAATGAAAAGCCTACCGATCCCGACGACTATCGGATCAGAACTTGAGTGATCGTTAGTAAGGGCATGAAGATCCCGTGGCAGCCAAACTACTGTCCAAGTACGATAACATGCCGAAATTAACTCCACCAGAGGATAAAAAAATCACCACTGTACATTGGCGGTATCCCGGATGGGTTGGCTGAGTCTGATTTTCTTAATCACTTTTACCAGCTTGGTGAACTGCGCTCGATCAATCTGCATCCGAAAAAAGCATTGTGCATTTATCCAATTAGCGAACCATAGTTTCGCCGAAAAGGCTGCAGGGCGTACATATGATCGTCTCATTCTGGGTGGACATAGTTTGACTGTGAACTGGGGTAAATCACCCACGGCACTAGCTGCAGCTCAAGCTCCATCTGCTGCAGAAGCTGGTGACGCTTCACCCTTGCCACCAGTTCCTGGGTAACCGTTTCCTCAAGTGCTCCCACTTACAGCCTTATACGGCAAGTCTGCATGTGGTTTAGCTGGTGGATTCTTTTTGACTCCACCCCCACCGCCACCTCCACCTGGAACGACAGCAACTTCATGCGATGGCCGTAACTCTTCCAGCAAACCAGTTCAAATTGAAAGACCTCAGATCAATCCCGCCTCCAACTTCTACAGGTCAGGTTTCTAGTGGAATACAGATCACCCTACCAGTGGTCGAACCACCTCCTCCAGGAGATATTTTCCTGCTTGGTTCTCCTCCACCTCCACTTTCTGCATTTACTTCGATATTGACTAATCTCACCACAAATCGAGGATTAGCGGTTGCTGAAATGTCACTGGCACCACCCCCCTCCCGCACCGCTGCTAGCCTCAATTGAAGCTGAGCGTCTAGCTGAGTCAACCACTTCGCAATTCTTATGCCACCACCTCCTCCGTCTTCAGCTCCACCAGGAACACTAACGACGCTTCTTCTATACAAAAGGAGGCCAAACCCACCTATGAGGGTCCTCAGGGTGTACATTATCCGAGCCAGAATCCACAAAGTACGGGTAGTGTTCTGGCCGCTCAACAGCATGAACAATTGCTGGGGGGAACCAAGAACAGGCTTGAGAAATATGATCCAGTGCTTCTCCGTCTCTCTTGATATTATTCTTGCAGTGATTTGCATTGCCCTTAATACAAATTCACAACAGACCTCACCCAGAACTCACTTGTCCACCAACTTGTTTAAATGAAACCTTCCAACTTCCCTGTTACTTCGTTTGATATGATCAAATAGCTGAATTGATGGTCAATAGCAATTCTGTCCAAATAGATCTTCTAGTGGTCATGAAAAATATTTATATTCAACAGAATGTGGACAAGTGTAGTTAACAGAATGGCCAACTGTTCTTTTCCATTTTGATCTCTTTTAGGTCGTTGGATCGTATTTCTCGACACCAATATTCCATATGATCGGATGGCTTCGGTGTAAGCTTCCTCATTTTTTCACCTAACAAACGAGACAACACTTGACCACTTCAGTAAAGGGTCAATCAATGACAAACATAACTTTGTGTTCGATGGTACTGTGGTGATACATTTAATAGTATGGCACAGCGCAAGAGGTATTCAACCCGCAAGCCATGCTTAAATATCAAATCATTTTGTCAATAGTCTTGTGATGTCTTACTCCGTTTATATCCGTGGCCTACTGTCACGTCGCACAGTACTATATCACAGGTGAGCACCACAGTAACACTAGTAGCATACGGGAACAGGAGGACAGTGGACGAGCACCAAGTCCGTGAACGAATGACAGTTCTAGAAGCGGAAGCTACCTAGGCGAAACACAGGACGCACGGTCGGCTATCGATCTCCCAGGCCTCCCAAAACACGAGAGAAGGCATGACTTGAGCAGNAAGCCACAAGTCAATTTACAAGTATTACTCTGATGCTTATGTGACTCAAAATAACACTGATCAATGCAAGAAAAGATAGTACCAATCAATTACACTGAGCAAGGTTTAACCGATCATAGGCCACGGATCAGACGGATGAACAGAGTGAATATTGCCGTAAGACGCAATTTCTCCGCGAGATTAGTACTGATCCGAGATGACCCTAATTAGGACCAGATGTGTTGTGTTGTTTGTTCGACTTTTCACAGAATTAGCAAATATGCTGCCGGGCTTATATTGGGACGAGAATCAGTGCTTTTCGTCTCAACAAATCCACTATAAACATGTTTGCACAGTCACGTATTTTTATTAACTATTGTCTAAACTTCACTCACTTTTATTATAGTCTAAATAATTTACGGATGTACTTAAGCCTCTCCTGAGGGGATTTTACAAAGCTGATCCGAGCAGTTGAGGTGATCAGGTGGATAGATAGTATATCTGCGTTATACTGAACCGTCCACAAAGGATAGCCGCCAAAATGGTTAAAGATTTGAATCGCTATTCAACCCCGAAGAGACTGGAGTCGTTGGGGTTGTATTCCGAACATCGCCGCGGTGCATCAGAGGATACATGGTTATGGTATACCAAGTAATCCAAGACCTAAGCCATTCGTGTCGCCCGTCACTAACATTATCACCCAACGTTCATTTCAGAGGACATCCTTTCAAAGTAGCCGTCTCCAAATGCCGACTGGAATGCCGGTGTCAGTCATTCGCAGTCAGAAGTGTGTCCGGTCTGGAACTCTCTCCCACTCCACGTCGTCTGCGCGTTAAATTTTTCAAAGTGAAACTTGATGAAGCATTAACACACCTTATATTCTAACAGGTGAAGCTGCGTGCAGCAGTGGAAAAAGCACGTAGCACAAGAAATTGTATTCATCACCGTTTTTAATCACAACACGAACCTATGGGAGAGAGAAATGCGTGAGCTTGTAGGTTATTCTCATAATACAATTTTGAACTTCGAACTTACTTGTGAACGAAAAGGTTTTAGGCGGTTTAAATTAGAATTGCGTGGGACAAACAGTCAAACCCCACACCACCGAAACCTTCATCCTCTCTGTCCCACCCTAACTCACTCAAAGCGTACTTTACTTTGTTTTCAGAAAAGTCAGGCAATTCTGACTGGAAAGACATAGACCCGGACCAAAGTACTTCGCCGAATTCCCGGTTGAAGGCGATTAGGGGATCCGCTTGGAGTTTAAAAAAAACACGGTAAAAATAACGATCCCATCTTTGTATATAGACTGGGTTGACAGTGTCGTGGACGCCAAACTAATCATCAAATGTTAGTTCTCGCCTCCCGCCTCATTTGATGGTCTCTGAGTTTTCGTGAAACACATCCACGATTGATCCAGTTATCATCACAGTGGAACCACTTAAGTGAAGTTGAGTGTTCATTCAAATAATAAAAAGCAAAATTGTGATTTTGTAAACGAACAACGTACCTCAGTTAGGTCGTCCTACAAAGCTGACAATCACATCAACTAGTCTTGGTCCCGATGATCATCTACTGTTGACCAAGGTATCGATCGAGATAAGTGGTTCCCAGATCAACATTGCGTTCAAGTCAAAATGGATTCAACCGAAGTTAGAACAGTGTGAAAAATCATTCTGAAGGAATTCTATGCCTTCTTTTACAAAAGCGATTCCGGCCTCAAATGTGAAGAGAATAAACTAAATACCTAGGGAAACTACATACTTAGAGTTAGAATGTATAATACACAGTGAGCTCAGTTTCAGCTGAAGTGCTGCACTGGATCGGAATCAACCTTCCACTGAATTGCCAGTGTTTCCGTTCTTTCGTGTTGTTCATTTAATCGAGTCATCACGGCTCGATTTGCTGGTATCGATCCACCACAGACTGGTCAATGCATGTTCATCTCACTGAAATTGGTTTATGTCCGAAAACTGGGTTGCTCATTTGTCCACGATCGATAAGAATGTCCAGATTGGTCCATACGCTTTGATGGTTGACTGCTCAACTCTCTTGGATCCAGTATAATCTCCTCATTCATTCGTCCCCACCCGCACTCCTAAACTCTCATGAAACTGTCCGTTGTTTTTTCAAACGCCCAGTTTAGAAATAGCTTATGAATGAACCTATATACAGATGGGAACGAGCGCTGCTTCAATCATAAGTCTTTATTTGGCAAATGTTTTGCGAGCATATACGAACCAGACACTGGTCTGGCTTGGCACACGATTATAGCCTGTCTCTCATCGGAATCGATGAGTTGAACCGGGAAACGATCAGCCTGAACTTGAATGAAGCAATTCGATTCTCTTCGAATGAACTGAACACATCAAAACCCCAAACCAGCAATTGGATTTCCACGGGCATGTGCACGTGATTTTTAGGGAGGGGAGTTAAAAGTCCCGAAGTTAGTAGGGCAAATCAAGTGTAGACAAGCGACATAACTTTTGTCATTCACCGAATTCAGAAGAACGTAAATGGATGGTTAGCCAAAATGAAAGAAACGAGTATGCTACTGTTGACTGAAATCAACTCTTAAGTTCACTTCTTACTATTGTGTGTTACAATTCATTCAATAATGACTAGTGGCAGGGGATAAGAGTTATCATAGTCACGTACAATCGTCAATTCACTCCGTCAACTGTAGACCGGAGTTTCGTTCTTATTTGAGCCCATCAATCGTTCAGATACACTAACTGATCCGGGATTCAAAATAATAACTTCTCGTGTGACAGTCATTTCAATGGTTCCAATGTATTAAACAACTCACATCGGGCTGACTGAAATTGTTGATTCAGTTTTACTTCAGTGATGGTCCGTTAGTGCTCGTTCTAGACAATTTAATCAAAACTGTGCTCTACTAACAGTATTCGAAACAAACAGGTTCTAAAATCTAGTCTATTAATCCATTTGGATAAATATATTGGTTCTTTTTCCACACTGTCCTCTATTACGACCAGATCTGATTTCAATAAATACCACTGCGTAAAAAAGTACACATAAGTACTTTAGTCCTACACAAAATAATCAATGAAAATATATCACTTTTTGTTGTATATTTACGCAGGCACGCGTTGGTTGCCGTGACAATGAGTTTGGGAACAAAACTATGAATAAATAGAACGAAGTACAAAGGTTTGCTTGGTCTAACAATGATTCACTGGAAGGCGCTTGCCTGTGAACGTGCCGCCTTTGCATGGCTTTCATGGCGAGGAGGAGGCTAACTCAGTTCGGAAAGCATCAACTGGTAGTTGAACAGCTTATCCAGTTAGATATCTATTATAAGTAAAGAAACCCAATAGAGTGGGCATAATAGTGAGTCCTCGTTTGCAGCAAAATCTTCCACGGAACAGACGACAAATCGGGAGTGATATGGGTACACATACAGACGATCGGTCCAATTTCTGTGTTGTGCGTAGCACGTGAAACAGTCTAGAGTGGATCAAATCTATGGTGTCGAAAATCTGGTGGTTCATTAGTCCTGATTATTCCAGATTCTGAACTCGACGATAAGATGGTTGAGCTGCAACAGGGTAGCAAAGTAACCTAGGTAGGATAGACATGCAATTGGAGAATCTGAGACCGATTTTGTGTATTATTGCGATCAATAGACGGGAACCACTCAGCACAGTCACAGAACGTAGTTGGTCAAGATTTTAGGCATACAGTCCAGGTCACTCTCACATTGCATTTGAGATTGTACGCTTGAATCCCCCCCCCCCAGGAAACCTTATAACTTTAGTGCGTCCTATGAAAGCCTTTTGTGGGTCGATTCCTCCTTCCTGAAAATTGATTGTACATCTAACTATTCAAGAAACAAGAGACGAAGATTATTAAAAAAGCAAGGCCAACTCTTGACCAGGGAAGTAACAGAGCACGGATCAGTTTTTGATGAGAGCGCAAATCAAGCTTTGGAAATCGCACGTGAATCACCTCGACAGTCATTAGTGAGATGGGACCCGGTGGATGAAAGAGAATGTTAATTTGCTGTCGATTGAACCAACCATCTTTGCCAAGTGAGAAGTTATTGGCCTGACAAAGTATTGAAAATCGGCTTTCGTAGTTCAGGTGAACTGAATTCCATTTCGCCTGTTCGCCGAACTTGGCAAGTTGTTTGCAAAAGTTTCATCACCAGCCGAGGTGACATCGTCAGTGCTTGTGAATTGGCACTGATTTTTATAACACACCTTGGTGTGTTGAGCTACAGATGAGGTAAACCCAATAGTAACAAGGACCTGCTACTCAGTGATGGAAGTCGGCAACCTAAGGCCCGGGACTTGGAGTGGCGAACCACATAAGGCCCAGATAGGTTAGGTGTGGTATTGAACAGGACGACAGAAAAGGTGCCCGCCACCAAAGTTGGGTGGTAGCGGCGGGGCTCGAACCTGGGGCCATAGGATCCAA